TTATTGTTTAACATAAAGTGAATTGAACATTAAAACAGCAACAGACTGTTTACGATGCAGTATACCAGAAAAACAGATCTATTAATAATAATAGAAATTGTATTTGAAATGTCTAAATGATTGGCCAAATACCAGCAGGGTGTGAATACTTATAGGTTGTGCTGTGGGCAGAGATCTGCTGAAGGAAGGATCTGTGGTAACGCCGCTTTGTGCACCTGGGATCATTCTAAATGGTAAATCTCTGAGCTGCTGCTAAGAATCTAATTATTAACAGAAAAACATCAGTTTTTCATTATTTTGAAGCAGTTTGCACCGTAAAAAGGGTCGAGTTTCCTGTCAGTTCATCTGCATCTGAACCACTGGACCTGTGGAAGAACAGAACCAGCAGAGCCTTCTGAACTGTCTGGACCTGGTCACCAGTGCTGAGCAGAACATCAGAGCAGGATCATCCCAGTGTTACCAGTCCGAAGGCTAGCAATCCCAGACAGCACAGGTAATCTCAGTTAGTCCTAGTCATGTTAGTTAATCCCAGGTTTTCGCTGGGATTAACTGGAGAAGACCGGTTGTTCTCAGTCAGTCAGATAACAAGGAAACAGGTGAGGCAAACTGGCAAAGGCTAACAGAAGGATCTGACAAGGAGAGAAGGAAGCTGGCTGGCTTAGAGCTGCTGGGAAGTGATTAGTGGCTGCACTGAGTTCCTGAAGTGAGGATGAGTAATTACTGACAGAGGGATCTAAACGGGACAGGTGAAATGATCTGAAGAGCAACAGCAGAAAGAGACCGAACTCCAAAAGACAGAAAAGCAGCGAAAGAATTCAAATGATAGAACAACGAGGAAACAGTGAACAGAACGTAAAGAATCTAAATGTTAACTGGAAATAAAGACACAGAGTCTCCTGTCCCAGCCGTCCCTGAGGACAGTCATGGTCATGGCGGTGAACAGGGACGTGCCCAGACGTCATCTGTTTGCAGTTGGACTGTGGGACGCTGCAGGTCTCTCAGGTTTCTGCTGAGTCTGCGTTTTTTGGGACCCGCTGACGATGCGATGATCCCATCTGAGGATCGATCGTCTCTGAACTTGGTGAGAACATTTTAATGCTCTGATCCTCAGCCAGTTCCAGTTTCTGCTGGTTTCTAGCTGACGATGGTGACGATGATGATGGGAGCAGCTCTCATCTTTCCATCTGAATTCCTGATGTGAGAATTTCTTGGCGGCGCACTCTCTGCCTGCGAGGGTCTCTGGTGTGTGCAGCGTGGGATTATGGGAGGACGGCGTGCCGTCAATCATGCGGCGGCGTAGGTGTGAGCTCCCTCTCATGCTGCGGGTCGGCTTGGGACGGAATCTCATTAGCGGCCGCGCCGCAGGGTGATTGACAGCAGCATAATGTTTGGGGCCCCAGAGGGCCCCGGCCGGCTAAATGTTAAATGTATGAATGCATCGCAGTCGATGGAGAGATGAAGTGGAGCCGAATATTTCTGTATCTGGGAAACAAGCGGGGAAACGGAGTGACCCTGAACACACCACCTGCTGCTGTTTCACACAGACAGGAACACCACACACACACCTGGACACACACACCTGGACACACACACCTGGACACATCTCAACAAACCTCTGGTTTCTCTGATTCTGGTACTGGAAATGTTTCAGAGGTTCTGTTCACCTGCCGGACCGTCTGCCTGCCTCGGCTGAGTTCGCCGCTCCTCCTCATCGTCACTGGACGCTGCAGGTGGTGAAGAACCTCCTGCCTGTCTCATCAGTATTTAACAGGAGTCTCCTCACTCTGTGTGCATGTGTGTGTGTGTGTGTGCGTGTGTGTGTGTGTGTGTGTGTGTGTGTGTGTATTGATCGTATGTACTGCAGGTCCTAAAGCATCAGTATTGATTGACTATTTAAAAAGAAACTGGTGTGTGTTTTATTCACACACACTCACTGATGCAATTTCAGGAGACAGTTTAACATTACATCAGATGGGTAATTAACCCCCCCCCCCACACACACACACACCACACACACACACACACACCCTCCATCTCACACACACCTACACACACACAGACAGTGTGACTGACAGCCGCGTGTTTTTCCAGTTAATTGCTTAACGAGCTCTTAACGACCTATGTAATCAGTTAACAAGCTTTAGTGAGGAGCTAGTCGTTGTCGTGGTGACATGTTTACGGGCCTCTGATGATGACATGGACGTCATCATCATCAGTGAGGAAGACGTTGTGGGTTGGAACAATTCCAGGATTCGGTTCTTTATGGATCTGGTTCTTTCAGGGCCCCAGTGGTCCACGTTGATCCAGGTTCTACTGGATCAGTACTGTTTCCAGAACTGGGTCCTCTTGCTCTTGTGTCCTGAACCGTTTGGATCAGAACGTGCTTGTGCAAACAGACTTAATAAAGCGCTGATGAGTGGAAGCTGCTGCCAGTCGCGCCTCTGACATCTGAACTCTTCTGGAACTATTTTCAGCGGCGGATTAATCTGCGTCAGGTTGTTGCAGCAGGATAATGAAGTGCTGATGGACCACAGAGCAAGCGCGACTTTAACTGTTAATAACCTGCTCTTCCTCCTCCTCCTCTTCCTCACTGAGACGAAGAACTAGAAGAGGTGTCTGCTTCCATTTACCTTGAAGAGCTGATGATGGACTTCTCATTATCTCATCTAATTAACTCTTCCTCCTCTTTTTCCTCCTCTTCCTCCTTGTCCTCTGGAGCTCTCAGAATCTGGAGACCCTGGTTCAGATGGTTCTGGAAAACTGCAGATGTGTTAGAGTGTTAGCTGGCATTAACATGTTTAGCTGTAAAATATCAAAATATTTTCCTGGCTTACTTTGGCCCAGTCTGGCCACCATAGGAACATCTGAACCTGCTGGTTCTGATCTGGATCTGCTTCAGTTTGATGGAGAGTCAAGAAATGGGCCGGTCCATCAGAGACCTCTCCTTATTGTTCCGTCCAGCTTCTGCTGCACCTGCTTGTCAGCGAGGAAGGAGAAGAAGAGGGAAAAAGTTACGTTAGCTTTACCTTTAACTAAATCATTAATAGTGATTTCTCATCAGAGTATCATCTCTGTGCTGGACTGACAAAGGGTGCAGCTGAACTACTGCTGCAACTTGGGGATCCGTCTGTTAGAGCGAAGCGACATCAGGAAATCCCCTCAGAGAGTCTTGGCGACTTCTGATCACTTCAATTTGACAATTGTTCCCCGATTTAAAAAGTTTTTTGGTAGTGGTGCTTGTAATTCCAGTGTCCACTGTAGTTCAGATTCTGCCAACAGATCAACATTAAAACCTTGAGACATTTGATCACCGCAGATGGAAAGTTGTTCCTTGCCACTGGCACACTGTGCTTGCTGAGCACGACAGATTGCTGCAGAGCCAGGGATTCACTCAGCTGGGCTTCCTCTGCTGGACTGAACTGGTTTCAGGTGACCTGATGTGGGTCGGCCATGTTGGTTTTGTTGGTGCTGCAGTAGAACCTCTCAGCGTTTCTGGATCATGTCGGCCGATCAGAGTTCTAACGACTGTTAATGAGCTCCGAGTACAAATGAGCCACAGATGTTAATTAGCAGAAATCTGCTCAACATTTGGTGATAATTAGAGTTACAAGCATAAACACATCCGACCATACACACCTGTATACGCACACACGCATGCACACGCACACACACACATGCGCACGAACACACACACATACACACACACTTATTTTCTCATGTACAGATGGAAATTAATATCAGGACTTGTTAAAACGCTGAAACGTGTTCAGTTTCTGCCTGCTTGCTGTTTCCACTGATTACTGGAAAAACCAGAAATGTTCCCTCAGAGACACACACACACACGCGCACACACCTACACACACACACACTCACGCACACACAGAAGATACATGGATCAACATTCCAGCCGAGTGTGTTGGGTACGGATTGACTGATGTAAAGCGGGTTAAAATGATATTTCCGTCGGTTCTGATTGGTTGGTGTGAGTTGTGACCGTTGGCAACCACATCAGCAGATCACTAGTCCCATCTCAGTGATTCTAACTGGGATAATCTGTTCCCAGTCAGCTGGAAGCTGAGGATCCAGCTGCTGGATCTGTTGGACCTTCAGAACACCAGACAGAATCTGTTTGACTCACCAGATCTGGTTTACTTGCTGAGACAGATCAGAGGGACAGATAAATAGACTGGCATCATGTTAACACACACACAGTGACACACACACACACTGTGACACACACAGTGACACACACACTGTGACACACACACTGTGACACACACACTGTGACACACACACTGTGACACACTCCGTCTCTCAGTGTCTGAGTTAATCTGCTCTATGAGGTAGAAAATGTATCACAGTGTGAAGATGAATTATCCTGACAGTGAAGTGCAGTCGCACAGTGTGCCGCTTTGTGTGTGTGTGTGCGTGTGTGTGAGTGTGTGTCACAGTGTGTGTGTGTTTAGTGTCAGAATGTGGATCTTCTGTTCTCTGAGGAGATAAATTTGCAGTGTGTCCTAATTTGCTGCTCGTAAATATCAGCGGTGATACAGCAAGTGTATGTCAAGAGTGTGTGTGTGTGTGTGTTGTGTTTTGCTTGTGTGTGTCTGTGTGTGTCGGGTCGTCCCTCCTTATCACATAACATATTGAGAGCTTAATCTGTCCTGCGTGGAGATTTATGGCTCGATTGTTCGCTGGAAGGAGGTGAAGAGTAGAGCGCTGATAATCGGCTAGAGATGCTGAGGGTTGCCATGGTGATGAGACTAGTCAGCTGATCACAGATCAAAGTTTATCTTCAGATAAAGGAAGTGTAACCCTCCGCGCTGGAGAACAAGAATCGCATGATGAGGGTCACTCCAGGGTTTCTGGTCCGGGTTCTGAACATGCCAAACTGATTGGACCAACCAGTTCTGTACTGAATATCTATAGAACCAATCACCAGCGGTGTGTGTGTGTGTGTGTGTGTGTGTGTGTGTGTGTGTGTGTGTGTGTGTGTACAGGTTCTTTCTGAAGTTCTTCCTGAAGTGTAACCAGAACTGTCTGAAGAACGCAGGGAATCCTCGGGACATGAGGCGGTTCCAGGTAAGACCACTGGACCGGCTGACGTACCCACAATGCACTGCAGCGTGTTGACACAGTTTGGAATAATAATATTATTAAAATTATATTATTGATCTGGTCAATGATGAGGTTAAAGGTCACAGAGCAGCTGTTCCTGTGAAGATGTCATGGAACGTTGTAGATGTTGAGGAATAATGGATGTGTGCGATCACCATCCTCTGCCGGATCTGATGGGCCTGTTTGTTTGCAGGTGGTGGTTTCTACAACCGTCAACGTAGACGGCCATGTTCTCGCTGTATCAGACAACATGTTCGTCCACAACAACTCCAAACATGGCCGCCGAGCTCGAAGATTGGATCCATCTGAGGGTAAGCAGATACAATTCTGTCTGCTGATCAGAACCAGATGGGCAGGATGGCCAGTGGGCTTGGTTCTGTGTGGGATGGACGGGCTGAAGGTTCTGTGTTGGGCGTTGACCTGACCTGGTGCACAGTGAATGCAGTCTTGAAGAAGCTGTGCCTGTAGCTGCACACGTTTGGGCCGCAGGAACCCAGAGCTGCATAGACAAGGCAGCCCAGTGGATTGTGGGTAAGAAGACCAGACACCTCCCCTGTCCCCAGAGAGGCCGTGACTGAGTGTGTGTGTGCGTGTGTGTGCTTTCAGCCTCTTTAATTGCCCTCCTAATTAAAGACAGTCGCCATGGAAACCACCCCTCCCACCTTGAGTGCTGCAGAGTCCCGTGGGTCCAACTTGTCTCTACCCGCTTGTTTCTTGAATCGGCCGGTTTTCCCTCCCAGCCTCTGACAGAACCTCAAAGCTCTGAATCCCAAATCTGAGCGTCTGAACTTGAATGACCTGCGTTAAGAGTGTCAGTCGGGTTTCAGACGCGTTGTAGCTCTGAATCAGCGCTGCTGAAAGTCATGATGAAGGTTTTTCTCTCGGCCTGGTTCTGGTTCTGTTAGAGCTCAGGTCTGGTGCTGATCCAGTCGACCACATTGTTCTCTGAGAACGGTTTGAACATGAAGGCATGAAGGGAACAGCAGTATGCTGGTTTAAATCCCATCTGTGAACCAGCAGGGTGGCTGGTGGAGTCCCACAGGGCTCTGGCTTTCTTTACACAGTTTTTAAGCTGTTTTGAATAATTAATTGAGCATACTGTACAGTTTGATAACTAGGATCAGTTTCAATCATCAGTTCAAATGGTTATTTTTGAATTGCCTAGAGACGCCATTTGTTGCAAGTTGGAGCTGCATAACTAAACTGGATTGAATTGAATCAGTTGTGATGATTGGTCGGGCTGCTCAGCCGGGCTGTGATTGGTCGGGCTGCTCAGCCGGGCTG